AAATTATGAGAACCTTGATCTAATCAGTACATTAATCCACTTTACTGCACTAACTGGCTGGTAACTGTAGGCAGGTAAGGTGTGGCTGGAGGCAGTGGGCTCTGGGGGCTTATCTTTGGGGTATATATTTTGTGAGCCCAGTTTAGTCACTCTGCTTCCTGGTACCATGTCCTGAGCACTTTCCTCTGCCATATTTTTTTCTCCATGATGTCCTGCCTTACCTTGGGCACTGAGGAATAAAGTCTGCTATCTATGGATTAAAACCTCTGAAGCAGAGCCGCAAATTAAGTTTTTCCTCTTTAGTTCTCATCTTTTAGCCATAGCAGCAAAAAAAAAAAAAAAAAAGCAACTAAAAGATTGGCCAGTTTAAGGAAAAGGACTTTCCATGAGAAGGGGAGACAGATACCTACTGATGCCCGATCTGAAGGTAAGGTAATCACATAAGGATTGCATCAGAGTGAACTTTGAGTCCTCAAAAAATGTAATCAGCAATGTGAGTAGACATTTTCTGCCTACTCTGTCCAGGGTGTTCAGGATACCTTCATATTCTCCCGTTTACCTACTCTTCCTTCCTCCTCACTCATCTCTACCCTATCATATTCCACATGCTCAAAGAAACACGTTTAAAGAAACCTATATAAATTTGCATGTATATATACATATAGATGTGCCCACGCACACACACACACCAATCCATAGAGTGCTTAAAAAAATCTGGAGGAAGTCCTAGAGAAGAGCAAAGGTCTCTTATGCAAGTATATTATCTCTGGAGCTTTCAAGATGAGGAAAAGGCAGTCTGTAATAATTCTATAAACAAGTTCCACATATTTCTAGAAGTAGAATTACAGCCTTTGAGATTACTTCTTCATTCCTTTTAAAGTTAAAAAGTCAACACTACATCAGAAGAATTAAAAAGTACACAAGAACTGACACCTAAAGAACATTCTCTGATATATAGCAACTGAATATTAACACGGGAGAGTGGATCTAACAATAACTTTTTAAAGATATGCAAGCCACACATCCACCCTGTGTGTTCAAGATAATGCTGAGGACACACAGATGAAGCAAAAGTAATGAGATTCTTAATGACTAAGGAAACAAAAATTTCAAGTCTATCCTCACAATTTATGCCAAAATATTAGAAATGTATACTCTTTAAAATTGGTCACCTTAATGTCAACATTAATATCATGATCTGGAGTTTATTTATTAACATTTAAGTCAGATAATGTACGTATTTGATGTCCATACTGTTTCTCTGTAGAACTGAAGTCTCACCTGTACCAGATGTATTGGCGTAAAAATAGTAAATGATCTGGAATAAAAAAAGCCAAATATAAGTCAATTGTCCTTTAATAATCATTTTCAAATTAGGTTTACAGGTGACAAGTCTAAAAGGTACTACAGTCCGAGTCATCACAAAAAATATTGAGAACATAATTCTTAAGATGAAAATAACCTAATATACAGTTTTAATAGAAGTTAATGTGAACAAGTATGATTCAAGTTTGTGTATTATTCAAGACTTCAAAGTACTACCTAACAAAAAAAAGTGGTAAGAAATAAAATCTAAGAAGCTTCAATGAAACCATGACTAGAAGTCATAGAAATTGACCTTTAAAATCAGGTAAACTATTTGTATAAAAATTAAACCAAAGACACCAATTCACACTTTCTTTATAACAAAGATAAATACTAAAATGAGGAAGCCATTGGGCAGGGGGGGAGGGGTTCTAATACAGTACTACATGATTTATATGTTTTTTTAAAAATACCTATGTGTGATATATACATGTATGAATGTATGCAGCTAGGTGTGTATCAATAGAAAGTCTGAAGACTAATATTATCTCTGAGTTGTAAAGAAAAAAATATTCTAATTTGTGATTACCTGTATTTTCTAAATTTTCTACAATAAGTTTTTACTGTTGTACATGTTTTCTAAAATTTCAAAGCATATGAGATAATGAAAATTCAATGTTACAGCTCCTTGTATAAGATAAAGATAAAATTATAATTTCAACCACTCAACACTTTTGAAACAATCTTCTTATAAGGAGCTCAAACCTCCCAAAAAATAAAAATGGACTTTGGAGGCAGAATGGTCACATTAAAAAGAAAAACTCAAGCAAATTTCCTCAGCTGAAAACAAAGGAATAACAGCACCCCCCCCCCCCGCTACTCTGGTAAAAGGGATGTTTTTTAATGAAAGTCTCACAGTCCACTCAGTAAGGATAGCACTCAATTCTTTTTCAGACTCTTATTAACTCACATGTAAAGGCTGTCAGTAGTGGCATGAACATATATTTTTGACCAGTTATATCTGAATCATTTTTAAAGTAGTTTTCCAACCTTTTCCCCTTCAACATCCATAGTCTCTCCAAGACACACCAGGTTGGATTTCTTCATTCCTTATAGAATACATCCGCAATAGTTAAAACTAGGGTACACCCTCACCCTACACTGCATTAAAGACATAAGTGTGGAAATACATGTATATGCATCTGCATATAAAATTAAACTCATAACATGTATGTCACTTCCATCATCTTCCACAGTCTAAAGAACACATTTTAAAACACCCAAGCTTTCTAAAATAGCAGTTGTAAATAAAATGGGGGAAAATTAACTATTACATATAGAAAAATAAATAAGCTATATTTACCTCTGATTGCTTTTGTGATAAACGATGCTCCATGCTTTCGGTTACCTCTAGGCTACAATTTGAAAAACAAATCCTTACATTTGAAAGTGTTTCAGTAATACTTGTACAACTTGTCAACTTATACTTAACTAATGCTCAGAATTAACAATATTCAAAACCTAGAGATTGACAGAAAAGTATTATCAGGACTGGGTACAGTTGGAATAAAGGTGAGCCTGGCAGTAATAAGCACATGTCAACTTGAACCTTGCACAAGAGCACAAGAACTGAGGCTGCAAACTTTCCAAATAAAAACACAAATTGAAGACAAGAGAAATCAAGGGCAAAGAATGTGGCTGCTGGTTCAGGATAGTCTATGTGGGTGGGCTGCAGAAACCTAAAATAAGGTTTGCTTATAGGAAAAGTGATCATATGGATTAGTAAACTCATCCCTCAAGGCAAATTCATTGAATATCTCCTCTATGTCCATAAAGGCAATGCTACTAACAAAACAGACATAACTGCTATATTGAATAATTCCATTCTGTAAGTATAAACTGAACACTACTGAATGTTCATTAAACAGGTATTATATGTGAGTAAAATGCACTGAAGGGCTGTCAAGAAAATGTGAAGACAACATTAAGTGCAGATAATATTTTTAAGAATATATAAACATTATTTGACTCAACACAGGTGATCATCAAGACACAATTTGGCCCCACGGAGACAGATGAATCTGATGCAGTGGCCCTCTAAAAGCTTATGGTTCAGCTGCTGACATCAACAGAATCCCAAAAAAGGCAGCAAAGCGCTTCTAAAGTTTCAATATAAGTTGCTGCTGTGCTTATTTTTCTAAATCAACTTATAATTATTCTGAACATTACTATAATTAACCACCAGTATTAAGGAGTAGAAACAGCCTGTAGAACGCAAAAGGTAGCCACCTGTTAGGCTAGCTGTGTAACCTACAAAGTACTTATGTTATTCAGAACAAATGGAAACATACCAGAAAAACTATCTGCAGAATTTTGCCTCCCTACAAAATGCATTAAGCAGAAACTGCAGTAAGACTGTTATAGAGGAAAGCTATACACTTTATAGGAAGGTGAGCTGTACAATAAGCCAACACTCAGAAAAGACATGGTAAAACCGAGTTCATATGAACTCCGTTTTCCTTAATAATCCTATTTGAGCTTGCTGCTACCTCCAATTCTAACAGTGATAGGCACAGTTAGATCCTTTAAGTATCTGTTGTGTCAGGGTCGGTAACACAAGCCTATGATCCCTGCCACTCAGGCTGAGGCAGGATTGCAAGTTTGAGGACAGCCTCAGCAACTTGGTAAGACTGTTTCAAAATAAAAATAAGGGTTGAGGATTTACCTCGTTGGTAGAGCACCCCTGTGTTCAATCCCCAGTCCCCCTCCTCCCAAAACGGGTTGAATAAACCCGAGTCTGGATCTTCCCCTATGCATGGAAGGTCCTGCCTGGGAAACAACTGATAACCCTAGGATCCAGTTTATAAGCCACCAAACAACATAGAGCTCCTTTCCAGCTCCCAAACCAGGTCAGTTGCTCTCCTCTCCTCACTGCCTTGGCATGTCACGAAAACCGCTACGCAGAACGTACAGCACCAGGTTACGGGAAAGTTCACCGGGCTATCGCCCCCTATACTGCAAGTCCCAAGAGCGTATTATCATCTGCGTCCCCACTCCTCGCTGGGACGCGGAATACAAAACACGGACACGGTTTTATTAAATGAAAAAAACTAGCGCGATTCACCCCACGTGGGGGGGAAAGGGTGACATCCTGCGACCCGCGGGGGCCTCAGACGTAGAGAAGCCTCTGGCGACCTGGGAAACTCTCCTGCCGCAGACCAGGCAGCCCAGACCCGCCCTCGCCAATCCGCGGGAAGGGACCCCCGAGAGTCCGGACAGGAGGACCCCCAGCCCCTCTCCGCGACCTCCCCTCTAAGAAAAAGAGTGACAGCGACTAGCGAGATCAGGTGCACGGCCATCGCGCGCCGTCCCGCACGGATATCCGGACTCCAAGCCCAGGAGGAATCCGAGACCCCCGCGGGCGCCAGGTGCGGTCGCCAGGTGGACCGCACACACCGCCCACCGCTCCTGCTCCCCTCGGATACGTGGCTCGGGCGACGTGGCTCTGCCTGCCAAGCGCCCGCGCTGCACCCGCCGCCGCCGCCTCCGCACAGGGGCCGGGCTCACCTGTACTTCTGTCTCGGGGGGCCACTCGGTGTTGACCAACAAGTCATAGAGGATCGTCTCCTCCTCGCCCTCTGAAGTGCCGGGACTCAAAGCCAGCCCTGCCTCGGGGGCCGCCATGTTCGCCCCGGACTGAGCAGCCGAGGGAGTGGCGCTACGGCGTCCCACGCTGGACAAGCTTCCCTGGCTGCGGCCGCTTTTAATTCTCCGGGATGAAAAGAGAAAAGTGAAAGGAACTGGCCACCAAAAGAAAACGCTGTTAGGTATGACCATGACCATTGCGTTTGGAGTAGGACTTGGGTCCTGATCCCCTCTTTATTTCTGCGTGAGAAGGGCCAAGCCATTGAATCTTTCCTGTAAAACAGAAAAGCTTCTGTAAAAACAAAAAAAGTACTTTCGAATTGCTGGTGTTAATTTAGGTTTGATGGAACCCACGGTTTTTAAGTGGGTAAACGCCAAAACAAAAATTACCCGAATCAAAACGTTGAGCTAAAGATAGGCATCAGAAGCTTAAGAAAAGCAGTGAGGGTCAGAGGGTTTGCAGGAGCTTCCAGGAGCAGGCGGTGTTCGCCCTGGGTCTTTATAGGTAAATTTGAATCCCGCGGAGGTGGTCTGAGAGAGGCACTTCAATGAGGGGGAAATGGAGTGAGCAAAAGAAAAAAGAGCAGACAGACTGAACAAAACTTGAGAAAGGGTGTGAAGAGCATCAGTGATGTAATAGCAAACTGAGGACCAGGCTCGTTTGTATACTCAACAAGTACCTCCACGTAGAAACACCTGTACTGTAAGCAGAACCTATTTTAATTTGAACGAATATGCAGTGCACGAAGTATTAGCACTGTGTCACATTCAAAACAAGCACAACTTACCAAGATCTCTTGAGGATTACATTGTATAAAGTCTATCAAGATAGTTTAGGCAGTGATGCAATTAAAATCCACTACCAGGAAGCCTCTAATGGCTCCCATTTCTCTCAAAGTTAAATGACCTCAAAGCCCTATGTCATCTACTTGGCTTCCCTTAGTTTCTGGCTTCCCTTAGTTTCATACCTCATCTGTTGCCCTCACTACCTTCAAACTCGCTGACTTTGCCGGTTCAGAGTCACCAGACACAATCTTCCTTGGCTGCTCCCACTGGTTGGAGGTTTATTATATCTGCTATTTGCCTGGCTCTCATTTCCCTCAAGTTTTTGTTCAAATGTCACCTTCTTTCTGAAGTCTACACCGACTGCTCATTTTTAATTTTGTAATCCCCTTCCCAACTCCATCTGTCCAGATCCCCCACTTTGCCAGCTCTGTTTTTTTCTCCTTAACACTTGGCATCATCTGAAGTGCTCTGCAGTTTATTTATTAGCGTTGTGTATTATCTATCCCCATTCTTTAAAGTGGAAGCTCAGCCATGGCACAGTGCTCCACCTATATACATAACAGATTCAATACACATCCCTGCTATATCCTCAGCATCTATAACAGTGCCCAGCACAGAGCACTGTGGAGAAAAATATGTTATTTGAATAAATGAATGATTTCCCCAAATAAAAAAAGAAATTAAGAGACAGGGTCTCCCTATGTTGCCCAGGCTGACCTCAAATTGCTGGTGTCAAGAAATCCTCCTTCCTTAGCCCTCCCAGTAATAGACTACAAGCCTATGCCACCACACTAGGCTTTTCAAATCAAGTATTTTTCACAGCAGCTGTGTCTTTTCATCAAGCCTCTCATTGCAAACACCAGCGTCTCCTCTCCCTTCCTCACTCAGCAAGCTGCACACCTGCAGAGAGCACATCTCACATTGCATGCTGTAGAGGAGGCAGCAGGAACACCATTCCCAGGGATAGGCAGCGTGAGGGTGGTGGCTGTAATATTACAGTGCCTCAGCAGCCCCACGCTCTTCAGTGCATCAAGGTTCCTTTACCCCTCACCCTTCCTTATTTAGTCTTTTGACAGATATTGGGATTGCTTTCTGCATCATCCATTCTCTTCACCCAATCACACAGCAACAGATAGGAGGTAGCTGGTCAAACTGGCAAAGGATGCATGCTTCTTAGTTGGAATGTGAGTGAGACTGAAAATACATCACTAAGAATTTTTTTTCCTTTTAGCGTCATTATATTTACGGCTCTCTGTTCCCACCCTCACCCTATTTGCCACAATTTGTGCAGTAGAAGGGAAAACAGAAGAGCATGCCTAGCTGAACCCCGAGAGCTTCTGTCATAAAGAAGACAGTTTCTCTGGCTAAAACCACTCTTCGAAAAAAAAATTAAAAAATAAAACCACTCTTTGGAGAGTGTACATATATAGCTGTAGAATTTGCCAGAAGGAACATTCTGCTGCCAGAGATGCACTGAGCAGATGGACAGGTGGTTAAGCCTTCACTACTTAAAATCCCCAAGAGTTCCTGGAACGGGGAGAAGGAGTTGACCAGTCAAGAGGAGACAGGGATAAGAATGTATGGGTCATAAGAAAAGCACCCAATGTCGGTATCAGACCCTGGAATTGGAAAAGAAAAGGCAGGTAATCAAAGTTCAGAAGAGTCAAAGCAACAGGCTGACTTAAAACGGGTCGAGTATCTGAAGCCAAGTTGCTAACTGGTCTTATTTATGGTAACTATGTAGTTAATTGCTCAAACAGGACACTTTTGAGACTAGAAAGTATGCTAGTAGCTGGTAGGAGAACAGGCATAAAGCAGCTGTCATAGGTACAGAGAGATAATGGTCACACCAATCTGAAACGACAGAGTGGTTAGTTTAATAAGACATTGAGCATTTCAGAAGGATAGAGAGACTTCTAATCCTCCTCGCCTCCCTCACCTTTGTAATAACAGCTATTGTTTTTGTCTACCCAATATTTTTGCTTCATTTGGAACACTGTTCCAACTGTTCTTCCTTTTCTCAAGTCACTGACTTCTGGGGGGGCCACCTGTCCCCAAACTCTGCCTCTTTGATACAAAAGACTCCATCCCTCTTATTTCAAGCACTGAATTTAGAATATTTACCTGGGGTTTCTTTTAAATAATAAAAGGAGAGGAAAAGAATCCTTGATTTGGGGAATCACTGTATCATCTTTTCTTGGTGAGACAGAATACCTGGAAAAAAAAAACACACTTTAAGGAAGAAAAGCGCACTTGGGCTCACAGTTCCAGAGGTCTCAACCCTTAGTTGCTTGGTGGCCTGGCTGCAGCTTAGTAGCAAGATACATAATCGCGTGAGGCCAGTGTGAGAAAGAAGAGCTCCGCTGCCGTCAGCTGCCAAGAAGAGAGAGAAGGAACTACCTGTGGTGGGCCAGATATACTCTTGTAAGTCACGCCCCCTCCCCAATCATGCCATCTGGGGACCAAGCGTGTAGCACGTGAGCCTCTGGGGTATGGACCAGATCCCAACAATCATAGAGATTGCAGAATACAAATTGGGGATTGTGAGCAGCTGTCTTATTTACCACTTAGAGAACCTGCACAATGAGGGAATGAAATCAACAAGTTAAGACAATTAGAGAAACTTCATTTGACAAAAACACGTCTGAGAGAAGCGACACCTGAGTGTTTCCATCTTCCCGGGTGAGGAATCAAGTGCAAGACTTTTTATGCTTATGTTCCTTTGAGTTGAGTTTCTGTGCATCAGTACCATCCCTCTCTTATGTTTCTACAGTGGGTTTTGCAGATTTGCCTAACTTCAAATCTGTATGTAGGATATGGATCACGACAGTGTTACTTCCAAATTGACAGATAACAATATCTGTATGGTATTCATTGTGTGCAGAGAGGACTTTCATCCTCACAGGAGCTGCTGAGAGGAAAAGACAGAAACTTGGAATTGAACTTGGATCCCTCCCCATTCACAGACAAAGAAATGGAAGCGTAGAGAAGTCTATGATCACAGCAGAGCTCAAAACTCAAACACAGTTCTTCAGGTTCGGGTCTGTGCTCCTTTCTTCATAAGGTAGCACATCACAGAGAATTGTGCAGCAAAAGGTTATTAAATAATTCAGATGGAGCACTTAGAGGGTTGAAATAGGAAGTAAATAGTTACACGTGGCGGTACTACCAATCTGTTCCATCAGGAAACCTCAATATGTGATAGGTAGAATTTACTTATACAATCTCGTGGTCATCTAATCAGTCTCTTATTTAAGTGGAAAGTCCTTCTGCTGTGGTTTGAATGTGTCTCCCTAAAATGTACATGTTGAAAAAAAATCTGCAGTGTGGTAGTATTAAAAAGTACAGTTGGGGGAGGCAACTAGTGTCCTTACACAAAGGGACTGAGGGAGCTTGTTCCTTCCTCCCACCATTTGAGGACGCAGTGAGAAGGTGCCATCTGTGAGGAACAGGGCCCTCGCCAGATACCAAACCATTTGGAACTTTGGTCTTGGATTTCCCACCTCAAGAACTGTCATCAATAAAGTTCTGTTGTGTGTAAGTTACCCAATCTAAGGGATTTTGTTGATAGCTACCCTAAGGACTAAGAACGCATCTCTGGTTTGAAGTTACTTTAAATCAGGAGTAAGTCACTTTAAAAAGGAAGATTATGTTTTCCCAAATGCCAATGTGAACAGTAACTGCAAAGTGCTTAAGGAAATAAACACTGAGATAGGCATCGTCATCTTCCTAACTGCATCATGACGGCCACCTCAGCATTTAACCCTCTATGCTTCTGCTCCAAGCACTATGCCAAGTACTATTTTATGCCTTTGTTCCTTTCTACAACACGATTCCTCGCCTGGGAAAATGGAAACACTCAGGTGTCGCTTCTCTCAGACGTGTTTTTGTCAAATGAAGTTTCTCTAATTCTCTTAACGTGTTGGTTTCATTCCCTCATTGTGCAGGTTCTCTAGGTGGTAAATAAGACAGCTGCTCGCAATCCTCAATTTGTGTTCTGCAATCTCTGTGATTGTTGGGATCTGGACCATACCCCAGAGGCTCACGTGTTACACGCTTGGTCCCCAGATGGCGTGATTGGGGAGGGTTGCTGGGGGCGTGACTTATATCTGATCCACCATAGATATAGATATAGATATGTAGATACATAAATATGTAGATATGTAGACAGATAGAGATATGGATAAAGAGAAAGAGAGAGATTAGGAACCCAAGGTTCTCAATCAGTATGACCCACCCAAGGTCACATGCTGGTAATGGTAAAGCTGTAACTGCAACACATTTTTTTGTCTAATGTTCAAATTATTAATAGAGAAGATACTGAGAGTGACATACCCATTTTAAACAGAAGCAATCTGATGTTTTCATACGCCTTTGATGAAAGGAAGAAAAAAATAAGAAAGTTTTCCCATTTCTTACGATTTTCTTACCACACATCAAACATACCCTCAACTAAAATATAATTCTTAATTCACTTTGCTGATGGCCATAGATATTTTTAGATTAGAATCAGACAGAAAATTTTTTAACAATATCTCACAAAAGGACTCATTTTTCTCCTGTTAATTCTTCCATGCAGAGCTATCATTAACTGAAAGATTCATTTTATATAAGCTCAGCTTTTTAGCGCCTATCAGCTAAAAGACCCTTTAAGCTAAAAGCCATTAATGATTCAGCATTTAACCCTTTCATGATTCTACTTATGAAAGACTAAAGAGATTAGTTTATCACATGAAGTCTCTTCCATTTTAAATTTGAAATTGCATAATAAAATTGAATCGAGGCATTTGAATGCTACCGGTTATAGACGTCATACATTTGTACTTGATTGGATGGTGCACAAGATCTTTATGAAGAGTATAAATTTTAATCTTGATAATAAAATAATATTGAGAGTAATTCAGAAATTCTATTTCCTCCAGAAAGCCTGGAGAATTCCAGTCAATCCTTCCATAAATATTGTAAGAGTCCCATAATATCTCTTGGCAGCCAAAATACAGATCATAAAGTTCACACCTAGTTTTAGCCAAGAAGAGATAGATCTCCAGCCCTTGCTCATTTACTCTAATTTGCTACATATTCCAACAGGTCATTTTTCCCTTCATCTTCCTCTCTCACAAATTAAATACAACAACAAACCGGGGAATGACAGACACAAAAATCAGCAAGAAGAGCAAAAAGTGAGTAAAAATATGCTAAATTTAACAATGCTAAAAGTGCATTGGTAATTTCATCAACTAGGGACTAAAAGTGAGAATAGCTTTTTCTTTTATTTTGTTTAAAAGAAAAGGTAGATGATTTGTAATATATTTTGTTTGTGTTTTTTTTTAAAGAGAGAAAGAGAACTATTTATTATTTGGCAGACACAACATCTTCGTTTGTTATGTGGTGCTGAGGATCGAACCCGGGCCGCACGCATGCCAGGCGAGTGCGCTACCACTTGAGCCACATCCCCAGCCCCTTGTAATATATTTTGAAGTGCACCAAAAACTAAAGTGAATTAGTGGATAGGCTGAGGAATAAATAAATGGAAAAATATATACTAAAATATCATAAAATATTAATGATAGAATCTCAGTGATGGGTACATGAGTGCACTTACAAACAGTAACTTCGGAAATTTGGAATGTAATTTCTTCCCTGCTCTTTTCATTTTTTTAAAAAATCACTTACAGAAAATGTTCACTCAGGGCATCTTCAAGTATTGCCTGCCCACCATTCTCTTTAGACGTAAGGATAGACTATTCTGTCCTCCACGAGGCACGGCCACCCTCACACTCTATATCTCCTTGTCTTTCTGTTTGATATTCAGTTTAATGTCTTCAGATCTCTTTTCCAGTCCCCCAGTTCACTTTTCAGCTTTGTCTGTATCTAATCTTCCCATAATGAGTTTAATATCAAATATATAGGTGTATGTACATTTATTTCTGAAAGTTCTTTTTTTAAAAAGAAGTATACAGGTCATCTTGTTACTTTCTCTGTTTTAACTCACACTTTAGAAATACTTGAACTACCTGATATTTCCAGTACCTGAAGTCTTTGAGACTCTATTGCTTTCCTGTCTACTTTGGCTCATGGTGGTTTCTTTCTTCACGCAGTGTTTAAGTAGTCATGGACTCTAACTTCATGTAGAACTTCTCTCATGAACAACTATCCAGTTCCCCTCTCTATCAGCCCCAGCCTTTGTTCCCAGTCTCCCCCATTCTATCCTGCCTCTGTTTTCAGCCCTGAAATCAAAGCTCTGGCTATCTGGTTCCCTAGATATCCCTAAAGCTTTCTTACAATCTTCCTCCCCCTCCCTCTTGTGCTCCCTCTCCCCCACCTCCCTCTGTGGTTCTGGAGATTGAACCCAGAGGCTGGTTTCAATTTGTGATCCTCCTTCCTCAGCCTTCCAAGTAGCTGGAATTACAGGCAGGTGCTGCCATGTAGGCTCATTAATCCATTTATTTTTTTTATTTTTTGGTAGTGGTAGTTGGACAGCATACCTTTATTTTATTTGCTTATTTTTGTATGCAGTGCTAAGGATTGAACCCAGTGCCTCACACATGCTAGGCAAGCGCTCTGCCACTGCCCTAGCCCCTCATCAATTCATTTTTTAAAGTTGTGGTTTTGTTTTTGTGTTTCAGTTAGCACTCTTGATAGTTTGTGGGAGCTTATAAGGATGTCTTATCTGACAAATTGCCTGAAAAGAAACACTCTGAACCTAGCAGAGGGAAGCAAAAAGCGGGGAAGGCCGCCTTCGACATTGCTGCAAATAGCTCTGTGACTCGCAGACAGCTGAGACCAGGCAGCACATCAGCAATGGCTCCAAAGGGAAGCAATGGGCAGAGTCCAAAAGGAACTGGTACTTGTTTGCTGACATGTACCAGACACCTCCGGGGCTCCCCAGAATATTTGGTAGGGAATTTTATAAATGACTGAGAGTCACGTGTCACCAACTGAGAGCAAGTTCAGTGAAATTACAGTGTCTCATATTACAATGACTCAGTCATGTCCAGAGACTTGGGGGTACCTAGAGGGTGACAGATAATGCTAATCATTCAAAAATTCAAGGGGCAACTCCACAATCAAAAGATGATAATTCTTTATGGACAGGAAATCTCTGTAAACCCAACTTGTAGGTAGGTCCTGAATCAATTTGTAATGCCTGCGTGGTTTATTCATGGCTAAATTGATGCTGTTATAGATAAATCCTCATTAATTTCAAAGACCAACTGTGATCTTTAAAATCATTTATTTTGCCCTGATTTCTCTCACTTAGCAGACCATTTGTGAATTGAATTTTTTTCCTACTGTTATAGTGAAGTTATGGTCAACTCCTTCCTTTAGTTTATTTTTTAGTTTCCTCTAATAAAAAACTACAGTGGAAATATTAGCCAAAACAGCAAGGATTCAGTGAATCTGAGGAATAATTAATAATGTTCTTTGATTGTGTAAAGTACTAACTGAAAAGGAGAAGTTATTAAATTATCAGACCAGACACCTTCTGCAGTGTGGGAAAGTCAAATTAAACACCAAGAATTGAAAACAAATTAAGGAAATAATTATTCAATCTCTCAGTAAAACTAGTTTTAGCTCCTTTATGGGATTTCATGCAGTAAACCATTTCCTATTGAAATACTTATCATTTTAGATTTCTATTAAAAAATATGTACCTCATGTTAAACTCCTATAATTTTAAGTTTAAATTATTATAATAAATCATTTTTTACAAGAAGCATTGCAACCTAATTAAGTCCTGAAGGAAGTAACTTAAAAAAATTTTAAAGACATTTAAGGGGAGACAAAAATCTCTGAAATTTAAATTGTGATATAAGAAAGTAGTATAAAGCCAAATCTGTTAATATTCTAAAAATTGCTCTAGGATTTACACTGAACTTGTGAAATAAAACTCAAATACAGTCAGTGTACTTTTAAAACATTTTTTTTGGTTGTAGATGGACACAATATCTTTATTTTTACTTACTTATTTCTTTGTGGTGCTTAGGATCGAACCCAGGGCTTCACATGTGCAAGGCAAGCACTCTACTACTGAGCCACAACCCCAGCCAGTCAGTGTACATTTATAGAGTGTCATTCTGTATGATCTTCCAGTTCCTTCCACCTCTGCAGAAGGAGTAGAAGAACCTAGGTCTGAGTCACAGCTCTATGATGGACTAGTTCTATGGCCTTGCATGAATTATTTAATGTATCTGTGTCTTAGTTTCCCAAACTAAAAATGGGACTTGGGAACCTAAAATAAAGCATGATTCTGTCAAGATTCTCTCCTTCACCAGGCTCCTCTTCTTGGCTATGTCTCAGTCTTGGCCTAGAAAAACTACAGACTCAAACTACACTGAGATTCCATCTCACTCCTGTCAGAATGGCAATTATCAAGAATACAAGTAACAAATATTGGCGAGGATGTGGGGGAAAGGCACACTCATACATTGCTGGTAGGACTGCAAATTGGTGCAACCAATCAGGAAAGCAGTATGAAGATTCCTTAGAAAACGTGGAATGGAACCACCATTTGACCTAGCTATCCCGTTCCTTGGTTTATACCCAGAGGATTTAAAATCAGCATACTACAGTGATACAGCCACATCAATGTTTATGGCAGCACAAATCACAACAGCTAAGCTATGAAACCAAACTAGGTGCCCTTCAACAGATGAATGGATAAAGAAAATGTGGTATGTATACACGATGGAATATTACTCAGTCATAAAGAAGAATGAAATTATGGCATTTGCTGGTAAATGGTTGAAACTGGAGAATATCATGCTAAGTGAAATAGGCCAGTCCCCCAAAACCAAAGGCCAAATGTTCTCTCTGATATGTGGATACTAACCCCAAATAAGGGAGAGTTGGAAGGGGAAGAGTAGAAATCCATTGGATTAGACAAAGGAGAATGAAGGGAAGGAAGAGGGATGAGAATAGGAAAGACAGTAGAATGAATAAGTCATAACTTTCCTATGCTCATATAGGATTTACATGACCAGTATAACTCAACATCATGTACAACTGCAGAAATTGGATCAAAATTGGAATGGGTTGCACTTCATATAATATGTCAAAATACACCTTACTGTCATGTATATCTAAAAGCAACAAATAAAGAGTAACATAAAAAAAAAACTACAGACTCAGCACAAATGATTTTATCCACCTCTATTCTTTTCCTGATTTAAAGACTTAAACACCAATCGTGATCAACTGTTAGTAGTCAGATTACTGTCAGACTACGTGGTCCTCCTCACCCTCCAAACATCTGCTTGACAAACCTAGAGTCTACCAGAAGAATATGACATTTTTTTTCTAGCTAATACTTCACCCACGTTTTTAGAGCATTTATTAAGAATGGCTTACTATTGGGCTAGGAATATAGCTCAGTTGGTAGAGTGCCTTGCATGCACAAAGTCCTGGGTTCAATCCCCAGCACTGCAAAGAAAAAAAGAAAAAAAAAAAAACAGGCTTACAATTGTGATCTTTCCTTTGTCCCTTTGAGATGTACATGTTTCTCTGACAATTCAGAGTTTCTATCTGAAAATCCTGAAAGTCATTGCTTTGAAATGCAATTACCAGGACCCTGTCCCAGTGAAATGCTAAATTTGATGATTTTCAGCTGGTGAAAGCAGTTGGTTTGATCAGTGTTTACACTGATCAACCTTTATAATTTTTCCTTCTCTGGCTCTACTCAAGCCTTACAAGTCCCCTAACCCAGGGTGAGTGCAGTTTACATTGGACCCTCTTCCCTATTGCTATAGATTACTGATTAAAATCTGTCCCTACCAGGGTTGGGGCTGCAGTTCAGTGGTAGAGCACTTGCCTAGCACATGTGAGGCACTGAGTTCCATCCTTAGCACGGCATAAAAATAAACAAATGAAATAAAGGCATGCTGTCCATCTACAACTACAAAAACAAAAACAAAAAAACACAACTGATTCTACCAGATTAGTTATGCTGCTTTGCCTTTGAGGGTCCAAGAGGTAGGAAATAAAATGGCATCTAAGAATAAAATCAACATGCCTTCATTGGTGAGCCCTAAAACAACAATATTCTAGAATAACCTTGCTCTATACAGGTGGTTCAGGGAGGACTCCTGTATCGGAACCACCTAGAGGACTTGCTTAAATGCCTATCCCTGAGCTGACCTCAGACTTGGGGGACAAAACTTCCTGTGGTCTAGACCTAGGAATCTGGTGGAAGGAACTCCCTGGAATAATGGTGACCTGCTTGCATTTGAGGATCAGTGGTATAAACCGTTGAATGTGGAGCTGCAATTTCTTTCAAACAAGTAGTTGGGACATCACAAATATCCTGTCTGCTTTGGCGTATATTAGGCAAGATATCTCATATGAAAACTAGTGGTAGGGTGGGGTGCTAGGAGGGCAGGTTTAGAATTCTGTCAATTTGCAATCATGTAACAAAAAAGGGAGTCTAGACCAAAGGACTTCAAGTGCTCCA